GCCGTTCGCACACGCACGGCTCTCGTTACCGCAATTATAATATCATACGGAACATTCATTGTTAACGATAACGATCGTAATGCGAACCGCGCGATGTCGGAAAAGGGGTTGAAGAACCACTGGAGGTTGGCGCAGACGGGCTCCGATTTATTGATCTCACGAAGGAAAACGAGAGGCGGAAACGGAGCAGAGGAAAATAAAAAGAACCGCGGCGAGAGGGGCTGCTGGAAAAATGGAAAAACATCGGACGGAAGTAATGCGAACGCCGCGATTCGAGTAATTACCATCACCCCCAATCCCCCCTCTGCTACCGGCAATTTGTAACAGCATTACATTCTCCTGTCCGATATTAAAAGTCACTCGAATACAATCAATGAAATAATACACCGTCCACTTTATCGACGTACAACAGTAATCATAATCGATGGACGAAATATGTTGCGTAAGAATCTAAGATAAGTATTGATTAAACAGTCCGTTAAATAATAATCTTTTTATAACACGTGCTTAACAAGACCATTTTCGACGCCTATAAACTGGACCGAAAATAGAGTTTTCTGATCCTAGGGCCGGAAAATTTAGGCACTTAAGGTAGCTCACTATTTGTATGACGTATCAAGAGGGCTCTACAATAGACTTATTTTAAAATAAGAATATGAAGTGAAAATTTCATTATTAAATGTATATTATCATTTCCACATTCATATATTTTAATGTTCTATTATAAAAAAAAGCATAAACAAAGTAAAATAGACAACTTTTTATTCACGACTGAAGTGATAAAAGTATTATTCACTGGCTTTGATCATCATTAGTTCGTTCTTTTTCACGAAAACCTATATTTTTCTTTACATCATCGCATTCCCCGTAAAAAAATCTATAACCATCTATTTTTTTATTGAAAACGTATATGATATGAAATCGCACGAGGCATTAGTAAAAAAATCTATAACCATCTATTTTTTTATTGAAAACGTATATGATATGAAATCGCACGAGGCATTCATACAAAAGTTTCCATAAGTGCCCGTATTAAAAATACGAATTTTCTAATGCCTGTTTTTAAACAATTTTCACGGAAATATTTTCTTTACGGAAAATGAGAGTTCAAAACTTTAACTATTGTTTAGTTCAATTAGTATTAATCGAGCTACTTTAAGTGGACGACTCGAGGAACTATATCCCCGATGCACTTTGCAAACGACTACAAATGGTCTTCTTTATACCGTTCTTATAAAAAATACAGTGAACAGCACAGGCCGAGTGGGCTTTTCCAGACTCCATTTTCGGTAGTTGGTGTACAATGTACTATTATTTCCAAGTGTAGCTTAGTCGTAAAAACGTTTACGACGTTAATGCGTCGAGAGCTGACTAAAAAGTGGGACCCACGCATCCTCTTGTCGATACCGAGTCCTGACTCCTAAGCTTTTCCCACGGAAAAGCCAGGCCTTATGTTATCGGGTCTAAAAACAAAGGTGTTCCAGGTCCGAACGCCTGGGCATCTGGGATCCATTCATTTGCACCCTCTCAATTGCATACTTCCTACCCCTTATCTCTCTTACATGATTCTCAATCGATTTGTATGGCGTATGGTATAGAATTAGAAATCTGTTAAATTGAAAATTGGCATTTCTCAGTATATGGGAGCTGGTACGTTACGCCACATGTAGACGGTTACACAGATCGAAAACGTAGGCTCGATGGTATCGTTAACTGTCTCCCGTATCAAATATCGTCATCGGCTGCGATATTACAACGGGATACTATATAGGCACGTACACTCCCGCCGTGTACGTTCGAACAGATAACAACACGGACGGTTCGATGGAAACATTAAAAACAGATCGTTCAAACAGATACGACGAACAGGCCAACTAATATAGAAACATCTAAGAGAATCGGAGAGAAGGGAAACACGGACGGCGATGAGACGGTACGACGATATTTGTTTCGGTACCGTCAGTGAGTGTACCTGGCTTCAAGGTATCCGAGTACGTGCGCAGACCAGGCTAAACCTTCTATCACCTCTTAGGTTACATAGAATCTGTTTTGCCTGTTGCCAAGTACACCAGTTCTACTTCCGACGGTTCTATGACTGGCAGGCTGGTCGAGGCAGAGAATCTAACGATTCAATGAGAAATCTTACACGTTCGGTTTTTCATTTCTAATTAAAGGACACTTCGATCGATTCTGGTTTAAAGAAATTTCACGGTTACTCGTTAACGCGCGAATTAAAGAATCAGAGCAATCCTGTTTGACAACGTACGCATCGCTGTTTCCCTGTAGGCGTAGAAGCACGAGCTGTCCAAACGTTGGCTATAGAGGCGTTATAGACCCTGTCTGGCCACGATACTGTCCGTCATCTATCCTGACAAGAGAAATCATTGCTCGGAACCGGTTACCAGCAACGGATCGCGACGTGGACGGGGGAAACAGGAACAGGGACAGGGACAGAGATCCAATAATGCCCAACGAGCCCGCGTTATCTCTCTAACCGTCTGTGCGTCGTCGATTATTCCCTCTACGCGATTCTCAACTAACTGTAAACAGTCTGTGGAATAACAATTTCAATGTCCATTTCGACCTCGCAAACATTTTTAACCGATTGCGACGAGTCTAAAACAATCAAGTTTCAACCATTCTCCGTTCCTTCAAGCTAATCGCGAAATCCGCTTGACAAGCTCGAAACACACGTGTCCGTACACATTTCAGCTGTGCAATCATTTTTCCCGTCGCAGCCGCAACGACTGACAATCGAAATCACAATAAAATATTAACCGGATTGAATTTATACGCTCGTAACTAATTAGAAGATTTCGGATTCATCTCGTATGATAGACTCGTTTATTTAATCATTGAAAATCGCGATATCTCCGGTTGTGGTCGGCCTGCGAAGGGCCGTTTTGAAGATAAAGTTCGTACGACGACGAAAGGTATACACTTTAACCCCGATACGAACACTCATGCTGGATCTATCGTCTCGTAAATTGAATTTTTCCACGGTTCGAAAGGCGACTCTCAACCCGTCGTTACGCGTCGGTGTAAGACAAAATAAAATCGAACAAGAACGAAGTTACATCATAGATAATTGGGAACGAAAACCGGTTCGTGCCGAAGAATAATGCAACGGAGCATCCGTCGGATTTTGTTAACCTTCCACACGTAAACCATTTGTCATTTACAATTGCTATAGCCTCGCTGTTCCCTATAAAATTCATTCGACATTTCTCGATGAATTCCATTCTGTTTACAAATGACTCACTCGTATTTCTTCGTATCATCGTTCAATCGTACACACGGAACGTTCGTTTCACAGGACGCTATTACCGACGAAATGAATCACGGTTTCTCGATTCGCTAATCGAAACAGGAAGTTTTTTATTATACTCATTTTTTTTTCCCTGGTTGATTCACTCCATCGTGAAATCATCGCCGCTAGTGGTAGCGTGATACAAACACACGCGGTACAGTCGGTCCCAAAACGGTACGCTCCTCGTCAAATTTAAATTAGCACGATTTAGTACTCGAGCGATAACATCGATAACACTAATTCCAATAACAATTAAAGTAAATGTCACACGTTAACGAGCCAACTAACATTACATAGGGCTAACTAGCTCTTAGCTCGTAAATATTCTATACAGATAACGTAATCAGGAAAACGATAAGGGAGATCGTACGCTCCGACAAAAGTCGACGACGGTGACGACGCCGACGACGCCGACGACGATTTCGTTTCTCCTTTTCATACGCAAGTTTATTATCGACCTTCCTCGGAGCTCGAAGGATATTTAAGAACAAGGGGAAACGTGAAAAAATAACGGTGACCGAAAGCCGATTAAATAAACGGCAGTTCCTCGCTTTGACCCGGACGCTTGCTCTCCAAACCCCATCTGCATTCCAGAGGAGTGGAAGAATGGAAAGTCGAGGAAACGGGGAAACGAAGGTACGAGCGAAGATAAATTCGATTGAGGGGGAGCAAAAATAAACAATCGGATAGAAGAGAATGAATTAAAATTGTTGCGATTCGTAGCGAAGAAATTTAATTGTAGCGATTGTTTTTCGCGAAACTTTCGCGAAGGGAAAAAATGAGGAAGGATCGAAGGAGAATCGATTCGGTAATTGACCCTGGAAAACCCTCGGAGACGTTCAATTAGGCACGCTGCCAAACTACGCTCCCAACTACTAATTCCATTGCCAATTAATCGAGGATTCGTATCAAAAATTAATCCTTCGTCAATTCAATTTCAAGTATGATAAAACGTACATACCGTGTATTCATCAGCGTTAAGATGTACTTGATAATAGAGGCATTGGCGTTTGTATAACAAATAACAAAACAGTTTATATAGATGTTTGATATCCGAATCGCAAGGGAAGCGACGGCTAGGCAGAGACGTTGAATGAAAGAGTATAGGGAAGGTCATTGCACACACTGGTAAACAAACGGGACACGCACAGACAGGCTGAGAGAGTGAGAGAGAGAGAGAGAGAAGTTGTAGCAGGCCAGCGCACACACCAAAGCGATCTAATACCCACGACTCAAGGTCGAACTCCTCTCTAAATGGTCACCCCTTCTCTTCTCAACCCTTCCATTTTATCGGTAATCAATCTCATGGAAAAATTGTACTAGCAAACCAAAATCTGATTTTCATCTTTCGTCTCAAAATGTTTAAAAGATTCAGCAGGATTACCGGAAGAAGCAAATGCCGCGTGACCGTTATGCGCGATGACACGCCATTGGTCTACTGGTAATAACGGCGGAAGGAAAAAGTGGAAAAGGAACTTTCAACTAGAAATTCCATCCTCTTTTGCACTCCCACAGAGGTATTCGCATCATTCAATACGCTCGTGCAAGCAGTTATACAGGAAGTGAAGTAGTGGATCCTGAGAGAAAAACGGAAATATTAGAATGAGAAATAGGCAGGTGATAAGCCGAGCCTCGCTTAAGACATTGCATACACCCTGGATACGAATAGTGTTTTAACGATCATTATTACCTGTTGCCAATGATCCTCGAGCGACGGCTGTGCGGAGAAGTATCCGGTGTCGTGTATGTCCTGTAGCTCTCTGAAGATGTTCCCACTCGGCAGGATATCCATGATTCACAAATCCGAAATTCCCTTCCTCCAAAACTTGCAGAAAACCACGAAACGAAGCTTATTCTTGTTTCTTATTCCGGTTGAACAGAGACACGACGCACAAACACGCTTGGTCACACAGACACGTGCTCTTTTATCATAACGAGAGAGAGAGATAGAGAGAGACAGATAGACAGACAGACAGAGAGAGAGATAGAGAAAGAGAGAGATAGGAGAGGTAGTGTGCGTGAGCCGCGGTGCCAGGTACAAACTCTCACTGAGGCAGCGCGACGGACCGACGACGCTCTGTCTGTACGCGTCGCGACGTCAGACGCATATCCATCATTCGAACCTTTCGACTATCAAAAACTAGAAACGGCGGTCAGGATCGTGTGTATGTGTATGAGAGAAAGAGAGAGAGGGAGTGAAACGCGCACAGATATATCACCGCAGGCACTGCCACTTTTGACGAGTCGCGTCACTAAATTTCGATAGAGCCAACCCGGGTCGATGGCGTCTCCTCCGCGCGAGCGCCGAAGAGTGACTGAGGTCCCTCGGGCTCCTCCGCCGGTTCCCGGCGCCGGTGAGACCCGACTATGCCCGAAGGTAGCCGAACAACCAATGACGTGGCATCGTGGAGTCGATGCGTCCGATGCGACGATTCGAGTACGAGTATGGAGTCCACCACCATGAGTCTACGCTGCGTAAGTTTGAATTTCCGCGCGGTAGCCATGACACCCACGTGACCGTTCTGCCAGCTCGGTCGTCCGCCATTTGCATTTGCCTCTCGTATGTGTACCGTACGTGCGTACGTGGTAGTGTTGGGTACGTCAGGTGCTTTCCGCGTGTTTCGGGATAACGGCGTTCGACTTTAATCTACAAAACCTCGTAGTAATCGCTACCGGTCCAAGCGCTCAATTGCTACGTATTCATCGCTTCACGTAAGTGTAACTACGACTATACATACACTATTATACGTCGTCGACTTTCGTTATTAATGCCGATTAACAAAAGTGCATAGCTCAGCTTTGCGAAACTTACAACTAATCAGCGCCCTGAAACTGCTGCTGTCGTCGGATAGATCAGTTTTCGGCACCTTTACGTGGCCGTTTCTTTGTCAGCAATCATTTTATTACGAAGTACCTATCGCGGTTTATTCATAAAGAATTGATATAAAACTGTATTTGGGAAAGAAAACCTTCCGGTTCATAAGAAGACACAACATTATTCCACAGTCTGTTTCACGTTCGGGTCGGGATAGATCCGACATCCGACACGGGAAAACAGAATGGAATTAACGGGCGAGGGTAGGGTTCGTTTTGGTTCGGTGGTTATTCACCGTACAACTATTTTCCCGGGTAACAAACGTTCCCGTTCGTAACCGAGGCAAAATCGACAAGAAAGAGGGGCCGGGCTCGGATCCAACAACAACAACACACCGACATATTTATGGTGCGCTCCGCCTCGAACCAACCCCTATTCGATATAACTCTTCTTCTCCAGTCAGAAAATTCAAAAATTATCTCACAATTTTTGTTTTCGAATATCACATCCGAATTCATCGATGTTTCTTTCTTATCCGTGTCACGACAGGTAGTTCGCGTTCGAAAGCGCGTTTATTGCGGGGGACAGAGGAATACGAGATTAGATACGGGCAACGTTTACGAGGCACCGGGGTTATCAATCTCGTTTCAGTTCTCAGATATCGCGAGCGACACTCCACCTCGCCGTAATAAAAAATTCATCTACCTTAAACTCCGTTGATTCATCGTGGACCGTCGAAATTTCACTCGGTACGTCGTACATGGTTGGGAAACAATGTTAAAGGGTTGGACCGAGTCTCGATTCCATTTTATCCTCCGCTGTCATCGGCGAATTATCGCGTACCTAAACCGTTCGGAGGCCGACTGTTCGGGTGGATATTACCCCGCTGTAGTCCTCCAATAACTGTAAGCGTTTCGGGATTTATATCGTTTCATCCTCGTGTAACCACCGTATTGGCCCGTTGCTAAGCCGTAGAATATCCCACGATATCCTGTATCCTATATTCATCCAACTTACGTCCGAAATATCCGACCGCTACGGAGCAACGCTGTAAAGTGTATCGAGCCGCTTCCGGCTGGAGGGCCAACTAGAAAAATAATTATATTGGAAAGGAGGGTAGTGGTTGTTCGCAGAGACGATCTACAGGTACCTCTCATGGTAGCGCATTGACCGTTCGGTTTCGGTTTTGTCGGCGAGTGTACGGATTTCTTGCTAGGAATATTCGAAGAAGAAAAGAGAGCAAAGAATAAGAACAAGAAGAAGAAGTAGAAGAAGAGGAAGAAGAAGGGGCACGTGGATTGGCGTGCAAGTTATCCGAGTTATTTCGCACATGCCGCCGCGCCGAAGCGATCGATAGCCTAGGCATCGCATCACATCGCATCGCATCGCATTGCGTGAGGGGAGATTCCTCGTCCTTACCCCCTCACTCTGTCCATTTATACACGACCATTTATATACGAGTCGCAACTTTTGTCGGAAACAGTTCTTGCTAACGTCGGTAATTATCGATGGACGAGTTATTCGGATGAAACGGCAAAACATGAGACAATAAGAATATCAGCTCTCGTCCAGGAAACCATTCGTTCAAATAAGTCGCGCAATTACTCAGGTGTCGGGAGGTAGGAGGAGGGAGGTTTTGATTCAACGCGGAGCAAGATAAAGTTTAGCAGGGACGGAAACTGGATGAGTCTCTCTCCGCCCGCGGTACTTATATCCCAGGCACGTTATCGCCGGGCTTCCCCGCCGCCTTCCGCTTCTTTATGTTTGCGGTACCGATTCCGTATTCCCATCGCGTCCTCCCGTCCTCCCGTCCTCTCGTCATCTCCACCCCCGAGCGAGCAAGCGAGCGACCGACCGACCGAGCAACCGACCGACCGAACGCCTCTCCGTCTTTCACTCACTTTTACACCGTCACGCTCGGAACGTAGTTCCTCTCTGTCATGCCGTCACATCCTTGCTGTAGACGTGTACAAGCCGTCGCCGTCGCTGTCGCGTCCGACGGCAGGAAGCGAGGTCCTGCAACCTCCGGAAATCTAATCGCATGAGAAACGTGCAACTGCAATTTCTTTAACAATCAAAAGTAGAGAACGACGTTTATTTCACAGAGTGAAACCTTCCGTCGGATATCGTCGAAGGTCGTTCATCGAAGATCTCCAGCAGTGGATCGGTAATGGCACGTACGCGCGACTAATTGCTCGTTTGCATGAGAAAAAGCGGTTTCCAGTGGCCGCACAATGGATCGTTCAATTCGCTCGTTCGGTCACGGTGAACGGTTAACACCGGCAAGGTCCTACTACCTATAAATACATCGTACATCCAATCGTTACCACCGCCCGCGTTCCCATTCTCTTGCACACAAAAACTAAACACCCATCGTAGCGCAGATACTTACGTCGACCTTCTTACGTGGCTATTGCGCGCGATGTACTCAGAATCGGTAGCGAGAAAATGTGCGAGACTTCGCAATCTTCGAGCACACGTCGATGCCATTTTTTCCCTCTTCAATCTCTCGGGTAAGACCCTCGTTGGAATTCCGGACTCATCGTTCGCCGATATTTCGAAAGTAAACTCCGGCTCGGCAGGCGTCGTCCACGGAATCCAATGACTTTTCCCTCCTTCGCTCTCTTCGATTCGCTCGGTCTCGCTCGAACGTCGAACAGAAACGCAGAGGATCCGTAAAGACTCGAACAACCGAAACGATCGAAAAATGAATTCGAAACATTGACAACACAAACTCCGCATGCAGCACGGAAAAAACGTACGATCGAGCCACCATTTATCGACTTGTAGGCATCCGTACATCGCAGAGATCGGCCGGTTAACCGCGATTTCACGTCTCCGGTCGAGGAGCTTTCCTCCCGACTCGGCCAACGGTCCATCAAAGCCCCGGTCGAAACCACAAAATCGTGACCGCTATCTGGCAGCGCAGCCCCGCTTTCAAGCTCCGTTTCCGCTCCGTTTCCGGTGCACGTCAGTATTCCAGGAAAGAGTTAGTAAAATTCCTACGGATAGGAAACGGAGCGGATCAATTCCGGGTAAAAACTGGCCGGGCGATTCGTCAACGAGACGGTAGGATGTACGAAGTTGAAAAAGTTCGACCAGAATAAGAAAACCAAAGAGTATGGGACACCCTCGGAGTGCCGAGTCCGGACCCGAACGCTTTTGTTAAACCACGACGGATTTCCCTGTGGAAAAATTAAATACGAAAAACGCTCGAGAAGATTGCGCGCCGATAACGCGCAAAGCATGTAAGTGTGCTGAAAACTCAGGCCCTCTCCCTCGGGCCTGAAGCTGACCGTTTTTCGGGGACGCGCTAACAGGGCATTTCTTCGCGAGCTGTTGAAGCGTATACCTCGATCATTTTCAAAGTTACTGTTAAGAGTGCTGGTGACGTGTGTTATTAGTTTTATCTTTCAGAACTATTAGTTTCTTACACCAGCCAGAGAGTGGATTTACACGCAAGCTTCGCATTCGATCTTTATGACCGAGGAAGGGACTTGGCTCACATTCGCGCTGATCTCCACGCACGTACCTCCGTCCCACGCACATACGTCTCATCGTGATTGTCGAGCCGTACACTCGACACATCGTCGAACAGTAAATGAGGGACAGACGATGGAAGAATCGAATTTTCCTGGACTGAAATTGAACTTTTCGCATCCTTGTGCGGTTTCACGGTACAACGCTAACTTGGACCACCGCGACTGTGCGCAGTCGGGATCGAGAAAGGCTGCAAGGTCATTGCCCCGGCGAATGCTGCCTCCCTCCCTGCCTCCCTCCCTCACCGCTCCGCTCCTCGTTTCGAGTACGACTCAAATCGGTCCATTCTAGTGCCAGTTAGAGTTCAATGAATTCCTCCTCCCCACTCGCCACCGATTCCGATAAGAAGTGACGACGTTGGGGTATCCAGCCGAACCCGAACGCATCGAATCCAATTTTTCGAATCTTGTCCAATCAGAAACTGTCGATCTCCAGCTGTTAAATGCCCCACTGTACGACGGAACTACTAATCGTAAGTCGGTCCGTTTGAAAATATCGAAATCGACGATCGGCCAAATACTGTTTCAAGAGAGCCCCAATTTTCACAGCGTATCAAAGCCCATCGAAGAAGGGTGGGAGGGAGTTACTCCTTCGTCATTTAACCCGGTGCGTTAACCTTTCAGAAACCGTCAGCAGCAATTGTGCTCGCAATTGGGAACGATACCGAGCCACGAAAGGGTGACTCAACGTTTAATCGGGTGGTGAGCTTCGTTTCAACGAGCAGCGCGATTGCAATTAAACATTTCACGGTTGCAGGCTCTATGAACGTTCTTTCCTCGCGAGAACTATCGAACCGATTCGAACGGTTCCGGTAGGTGTTCGAGACGGAGTAATCTTCCGGCTGCAGCCTCACGAATCTTTTCACGTTCCTGAAGGATCGTGTCCCGGACAACGACGAACGAGATCAAATAATCGAAACAATTAAGAGCAACGCTGCTTACGAGCGAGGGCGTCAGCCTAATTATTTTTTCGGTGCGTGCCTCGGTCTCGGGGTCAAACGAACCTCCGACCCGAGTAATTCCTCCGCCCGCATTCGATCAAGGGAACGACAGAACCGATCGTTCGTTCAACGCGGATCGATCCTCACTTTTGTTCTCACTCGGAATATTTTGCTTCCGGGAACGAAAGCGAAAACGTTCAACGTTTCCGCACGCATTGATCGCTCTATCGTCCCTCAACGTTCTTCAGTTACGGTATCTTCGCTTCTTGCTAGGACCAAGGACGTTCTTTTACGATGAGATCGTAGAGAGAGGGAGATAGTGAGACCGAGTGTTTTAAAAACTGATCGCGTTCATCGTGGATGATGCAACGGAAGTGGGGAAGGCGAGGTGAGGGCCTAAGAGCGGACTTAATAATTCGGATGCATCCTAGTGCTACTCTATACCTCTCCGCATATGCGAGTACGTACAGTCGGGGCAAAAAATATGTGAAATTCGTTTTCATTTCGGAACTCTGCAAACTCGAAACGATTGTATGAATTTTTCGACGTATCAACAAAGTGTACTTGATCGACGAGGAAATCCGTAGAATCAGGTCGATCGTTCGGAATCGGGAGACCGTTAAACTCGCGCCTCCGCTCCGCGTCTCGTTCCCCGTCGACCCGCAGATGGCTCCAGCGTCCAACCAACTACGAGAACAACGTATACCGACACCGGCCCATCTACTTACGCTACGATCCACGCGGTGGCTAAAACTAGAAGCTAAAGATCGGCATTAAATCCATGGAATAATAACGTCGTGGTCGTGACGTCGTGGTGGTCGTCGTCGGTGACATTCATTCCGCTCGGCTACGCAAGTCTATCTGTTTGCATAAATTTCTGACCGTGAAGGGATTCAAGCAGGATGGCAAGGATATCCGCTATAAAACAGTCCCTGGAAAACGTCCTGAACGATGAGACGAAAGCGTGGACCAAGTACCTCGCCAAGGTGGAGAAGAAAAGCGGGGTCGATCGTCTATACATCTTTCTAGGTTCGTCGGATAATAACTCGTCCGTTGTATGATTCAAACCCAAGGTGCAAGGTCCGTGCCACCGCACGAACTCGCCACGATGTCGTCGTCACCGATATTGTAATCTCGGCTTCGACGCGTCTGCATACGAAATACGCAATATATGCAGTACAAAAGAAATAGTGCAAACGAAGCAATAAGTTTCGTCGCACGAGATCGAGGTTTAAGACAATACGATATATCATATGTTTCAGGTATCATAGCAGGCTCTGCGTTGTATCTGGTGTTCGGTGCAGGGCAGCAGCTTGTCTCGAATGTGTTTGGCTTTCTTTACCCGGCATACTGTTCTATGAAAGCATTGGAGAGTCCTACCAAGGACGATGACACCAAGTGGCTGACTTATTGGGTAGTATTTGCATCCATGACCATTATTGAGTTCTTCTCGGACTGTATCCTATGCTGGTTCCCCGTCTACTGGCTGTTCAAGGTATTTTCTGTTCACATTCATGTTCACGTTTATGGACAAGCATGTAAATCTGATCTTTCGTCTGTTTCTCTTGGTCCGCAGTGTCTGTTGTACATTTGGTTGATGGCTCCCATTGAACGCAACGGGTCTGTAACACTGTATCACAGTATCATTCGACCAAACTTCCTTAGATATCATCACAAGGTCGACGCGTTGATCAACTCCGCGCAGGACGCAGGTACGTACTTAAGATAAAACGGAACAGACGAGACATTGCACATTGTTCTTCCACCAAACGTAACGATCGATGCCAATTTTCAGCAGCGAAAGTTGCGACGAGTGCGTTGCTGACAGAAAAACAAGATTAAGAAGAAATCGAATGAATCCGTATCCCCCATCCGCTAATTTTTAATTCAAGTGCCTGGATCGAAGAAGAAGAACAAGAATAAAAGAGAGAAAGGTGCTAAAAAATTTGTAGGGAAAGGAAAATTAAAGGAGGAGGAAATTTTTAATCACCCGCTGGACTCGGATTGAATGCTGTATTTTATGTACCTAGCGGGAAAAATAAAGGAATTTGTACGATTCCCGTAATCGCGATAGTCTTAAGAGGTTTTGTGAGTTCATCCTTTCCGTCGGAGTTTCGGTCGAGATTTCAGCGACGAGCCATTTACAAACGAAAGAAAAGGTCGGACGAAACCTTCGACCGTCGCGTCAGATTTGTTTCCGATCCACACCGATCTACCAATATTCGTTCGTCTGCGAATTCATGAATTCAGCTGAGATTCGATGGAGAGTCAATCGAAGTCGCGATGTCGGGGAAAATACCGACATTTCTATCGGCCGCAGAAAGGTGCACTTCGAGTTCCAATAATTTCCGCAATGGACCAAATGGCAGCACTCGTTGGGTCACGTTTCAGCGCAACAGGTGTGCAATTTGCCTAAATCGGATTGACGCAGTCCGCGCAGCAGATGGTCGAACGAAACGTAAAAATGCGGATAGGTACACGAATATCTCTCAAAAGAAAAGAACGGTGATTATCGCCAGAGATGAGGAGGGAGATTGCTCATGAGCCCGTTTTACCCGAGCCGTTTTTTGACCCTTATAAGCTACCGCCTCTAACGGCGAAAGTCCGAACCGTACACGTATTTCGAGGGGAGAAATGGTAGTGAGAGAGAGATGTGTGATCAAAAAGTATATACGCTCTCACTCTCACTACCATTACTCCCCTCAAAATATGTGTACGATTCGGACTTTCGCCGTTAGAATTCATAGTAAAAAAATCGGCTCGAGTAAAACGGGTTCATGAGCAGTCTCCCTCCCTGGGTTTAACTTGAATATTTACCATATGTGAAATGTTTTATGTAAGAAAGAATATGTCATTTTCCATTTCTATGCAGTTTCATCGTTCCGCTTATCTAATATTTCGCAACGAACGCTACTGCTGCACTCAGTTTAAATTATACAAGAAGTAACGTCGATTTATGTAACACTTCTGCTTCTTTAGCGAACGTGCAAACAGCAAGTATATTGAAGACACGAAATAAGAAATCAGTGATCGAATATTCATAGTCGTGATGGAACAAACATTTTCACATGTCTACCGTTATGCGAAGCGAGAGTAAACGGAGAATCTAGAAGGAGAATCTACGAGCGATTCAAGATCAGTGAAAACGCTAATTATTACGGAGAAATCATCAATTATGTCGCTCGTATTCCGTCTTTGTTTTATACTTCCTTCTCTCTCTGTTTAAACTCGGTTCCGTTTTATATTTCTCTTTTTTTCTATTCTCTCTCTCTCCCTCTCTGTCTCTCACTGTTTAAGGTTGATTCTATAGTATTTCTCTCTCTCTCTCTCTCTCTCTGTGTTTAAGGTCGGTTTCTTACCTCATCGCCCCCTTTCCCACCGCGAATCTTTCCGTCCCTCTTCCTCATATAACTTTTTCTATTTACTTCCTTTTTCTATGCATTCTCTTTCACCGTTGCATTCTTTCGCGGTGTTAATTATGCGGCGAACTCCCACGACTAAAGAATGCCGCTCAAGATCATGGACGAGTCGACAACTTTTCTAATTATCCCAACGTTTTCCTCTCGGTTCGATTTTCTAGTCCTTCCTCTATAGCTTCACAGCCGCACCGGTGAAGACATATGGCGACCGGCTGCTCGAATGTTAAATCAACAGGTGAGGCTCGTCGAATGTTCGGGCTTTGTCGAGTTTATAAAATGGTGTCAACGAACGCTGTTTTAAGTTAAAATGAATAGACTGCGGTTCTTTTTACGAAACATAGTAAATGTCATGATTCCTACTGGTTTAAGATGAAATATAAAATTATAGGGAAAAGTGTTGGTAGAAATTGTGATAAGAACAGAAGTTGGGAAATTTATTATAAAATAATAAGAATTGGAATGGCTAGCATGTATACCACACACGTACATGTATAAACGGATGTATAGTCCATGTAATATATAAATGATATAATATGTATAAAATCTCTCTCTCTCTCTCTCTGTGTTTAAGGTCGGTTTCTTACCTCATCGCCCCCTTTCCCACCGCGAATCTTTCCGTCCCTCTTCCTCATATAACTTTTTCTATTTACTTCCTTTTTCTATGCATTCTCTTTCACCGTTGCATTCTTTCGCGGTGTTAATTATGCGGCGAACTCCCACGACTAAAGAATGCCGCTCAAGATCATGGACGAGTCGACAACTTTTCTAATTATCCCAACGTTTTCCTCTCGGTTCGATTTTCTAGTCCTTCCTCTATAGCTTCACAGCCGCACCGGTGAAGACATATGGCGACCGGCTGCTCGAATGTTAAATCAACAGGTGAGGCTCGTCGAATGTTCGGGCTTTGTCGAGTTTATAAAATGGTGTCAACGAACGCTGTTTTAAGTTAAAATGAATAGACTGCGGTTCTTTTTACGAAACATAGTAAATGTCATGATTCCTACTGGTTTAAGATGAAATATAAAATTATAGGGAAAAGTGTTGGTAGAAATTATGATAAGAACAGAAGTTGGGAAATTTATTATAAAATAATAAGAATTGGAATGGCTAGCATGTATACCACACACGTACATGTATAAACGGATGTATAGTCCATGTAATATATAAATGATATAATATGTATAAATAATATATAAATTATATAATAGTGAATTGGGTAATTCCAAGTTTTAATAGGAAGTTGAACCGGCTTTCGGTTTTTAATTCTAAATCGATTTTCCATTGAGTGCTTGTCAGTTCGAAGTAATTCTACTTATTTTCTTGGATATCCTACGCGCTCGCTCGTGTTACGTGAACGCCACGTTTACAGTGACATAATCGAGAACGCTTATGCACGTTATTTGCCGGAATGATATTTTTAGTTACAATGCGTTCGCTCGTGAAACGTCGACCTTTCCAGCCGGAGCGTTTTGTAACGCTGATATCAATCATCGCCGTTACCAAGTATCTTAGAATTGTAACACGTGGATTGCTACGGAATATTCATTGGATCCCGAGGCCACTTCGCACATACTCTTTCTATCATGAATGCTTTCCATGCATCGTCACTATTTGACCCATGTGAATGTGTCACATCGTCTACATGTATGTGCGTGCAAAGTGAGTCCAGAATCCAATGAATGAGTCATCTGTACACCGAGATGAATTGCGAGCTCGTTCAGACGATGCTGTTTTTTAGTTAACTAATTCACTATTAATTTTAAAGCAGTCTCTTTGTCTCAAACGATGGTAGTTCGGTCTTGTTGTTGGCCCAACAATTTTCGGGAGTTGAATCACCGATATTTCTCGTACGTGTCCGAACTCCGAATATAGTAGGGATCGTCGTGGACCATCGCATCGTGGGCGTGCAGCATTGAATTATAATTCGTTACACAAATTATTCTACATATTCCAACTTGTCTCTTCACGGAATATAAAACTTGAAGCTTAGTTCAAAGTTCAATATATTTATTTACAAATTGAGGATTTAGGTTTTCGTATAATTCAACAAACAAATTAGATTAAACTGGGAAAACTCTCAGAACGCCCGCTCAGACGATGCTGTTTTTTTACTACGTTTGTATTAGTTAGCTTCCCAATCAACTAGAGACTTGAAGTTTTAAACATAGCTCAGACTGGATGACAATGCAATATTAACTCTCTTGTCTGTTTACTCTGTTGTCCATTTACTAAAAATCTTACGTCTTGTATAACCGTAATCCTGGTCCTAATCACAATAACCAAGTAAAATTTCCTTACGAACATCGAGAACGACGAACGAAACGTCGTTTTCCTTAAAAGCGTGACGCGCGAATTACATGGAAGATTTGCGTAATCGAGTACAATAATTAAGGCAGTGGAACGCGGTAAACCGTTCCGATCGTAGAGTAGGAACGGAACGGGTTATGATGGAAAATCGGTGGCCGCGGTTCTTTCACGCCGTGTCTCCGGCGAGCGGCGACGAATAAATAAGGAGACAAGAACGTGTAATGACCCACACTCGATTACAGCGAGCCAGAAAGAGGCAGCCACCGATCCCTGTGGCAAGGGACGAGAGAGATAAAGAGGAGCGGATAGAAAATATGGCCATGATATTTACTAACGCGGCCTCCACGTGAAAGTGCTCGTTCCGCGCTTTGTGCCTTGCTCGAGGAACGCGTACGATTCCGCATGTAACGGGTGACACGGTCGAAACGAGATCGGAGGAAAACGAGATCACGCCGAAGGAGTCGGAGTCTTGGAAACCTCGAGTCGTCGTGTCTCAAAGCGTTTGCCTATAGCTTCGTTATCGTCGAGTGATTTGGTATTAATTGAAGAGCTCAAAGGAACGAACGGTCAGCTCGATTTCGTCGTGACTGTAAAATAACTTTTTAGTCAGTCCAATGCAACAGATGATCGTATCATGAGTTCGTGACTGTTCGTTGCTCCGAACGATTAGAAAATCCAAGTGGACAGTCACGACAAAATCGAGCTGACCGTTCGCTGCCCTGAGCTCTAAAAATTCCAATTACTCTGGCTCTAGGAACACTGCGACGGACGACTGTGACGTCGTCGTACGCACCGACTGGTGAATGTGGCGAAAAATGGAACGATCGAGTTACGAGAGATTCGTGTCCGATGGAATTTGACCTAAATAAGAGTTTACAGGAGCGCAGACTCTCTCTCCTTTACGACTGTTAAAAGATTTTGCAAGCAACCGCACGGTGTTCCTCAAGTCGTTTCAATTAATCAATGTTTTCGTAGAATTATTATTTTTTTAGTCTATTGGGATCTACTTTAGCTATCTTAGGAATGGATAGAAACTTATTTAGTGGTCGGTTAAGAATGTGTACTAATATTTGTATGCTTGGAGAATTTGCATTCAATTGGTTTCTTTGCATCGTATAAGAAAATTTATCGTTTATAGGTTTCGGTATTTGAAATCCATAAAACGCCAGATTCTTTAATACAAAGAATTGAGTTTGATTTTGTTTTAAAATCGTTGTGCATGCTGACTCTTCTGTTTCTCTTTTTTTTACCTAGGAGTAATTTAATGGCCTATTGAATTCGTAGTATTGGTTCACGTTGAACGATTTAATCGATAATCGAACGTTTAATTGATTAGAAGATACTTCTTTTTTATTGTATCATTCTGGATTATACATAATTAAAATACATCATTCGATCGATCATTCAAAACCCAGTTGAATTTCTTTAAACGAAACTTTTTCATTTTTCGTTGCATGCTTTGATTGTAATCGATGAAAAAGAAGAAAGTGTGGAGTGATCGTTGGATTTCATCGATTCACGATATTCTGATCACGAGAATTGCAGATATTGAACACGAAACATTGAGAAAATCGTATGCTCCTTCAGATCTGGCAATTCGTGAATATTTGTGACTCTCATGAATTTTTGTTTAATGTAAGTTCAGTCTGGAAAAATTCAGGCTTACTACAGAAGTACATCTCTGAATTTTTTCATTATCAGTTCCATGCGCTAGAAGCGTAAAAATTGAATACTAAATGTCTTGAAAATCAAGTTTCAAGGATACCCGTTTATTTCGCAAAATTTAACTCATTGAGAAAAATTCCCACATGTTCTACTCGTACAGTAGTGCACGGAGAATTTTTCTTTCATTCACGAGAATCGGAGAAATGAAATGTTTCATACTCGTTGCACATGCTGGCTTTTCTGTTTCTCTTTTTTTTCCCACTTGTAATTGTATGGCTCATTGAATCGAGCGTAACATTGGTCTTGGTTCAAGTTAACTATATGATTGTTGTCTAAAAATTAGCTCTGCTCAGTGAAAGTCAGTTTCTACATGAACCATGATATAATGATATCATTTACTTTATCTATACGATCTAAAATATTCCAACAAAACAGACTATTTATATATCCTTAGTTGTTTTCTAGTGATACTTGAAGTTTATTCAAACTGAATTAATTGAAACAGTATCCCTTAATTTATTAGGTATTTCTTATAAAGAAAGCAATTTTTATTATACAATAAATGTCAATTGTTGACTTAATTTCGTCGACTAGTCTTAAACATTGAAAATACAAATAATTCATAAAAAGTTTCAACTTTCAATAACGTCTGGTGACCACAGCTCGTCATTGTCTGCTCAACAAAATTCATGACAAGCTGGTCTCGCCATTTCAGTTCAAGGAGTCGACTTGTCAATCTGGGATCACTTTTTCTCATCACTACTTAGTCATTGCTACACCATTAAATCATACCAATTTCTCATTTTAACACACAAGGAAAAGCTGTACCCTGACTAACCCCCCTTCTCCCCGCCAGACGATTTATCAGCCATTTCGATACAGCCACGCGGTCACAACATCCTTTCTCCATCTTGGCATTGGACGCATTCGCTGGTCCTCTACCCGTGGTACAATTTCGCGGTCCCGGTGAACCCGTAAAGGTAATTCGTCCGTGGAATTTCGATGGAAATATTCCGCTGGCAAACGGATGGTGGTAGGTAGGTAGGTAGATGTGGAATACCCGGAGCTTTAAGGTCTCCTCGCAAACAAGGACAGTAGAGAAGGGGATATAATGTATACGAAGCTGTACACAGGCCACTTTTCTCGCGGCGATGGAATGGCAAAAAGAGAGGAGGCACTCCTCTGACGTCACATCGGTTGCTCGCTAGTGCCGCTAGCCTCTCACTTCGCCGACGACACTCGGCATGCTCGTTTCGGTTTACCTTGGTTCCGACCCGATCCGTTCGACTCGTCGCTTCGATTCCTTCGAATCGTACCAACGGTGGTTCCAAGTCCGCGACGCCCACGGGAATTTGGATTCGATTTCGCAATATGTTCGCGGGCCAATTGGATGGACCGGATGTCTGATGATCTGGGGGACTCCCGGTTCGGTGTGTAAAAACTGTCAGTGAAGTTCTGTTGTTCGGTCCGTCCGGCGCTCGGTACGCCGCCGCCGCCGCCGCCGCCGCCGCTGCAGCCGCCGGTTCGATAGTGTTCCGGGTTTATTGTACATATTGTTCTGTCATTGTGCCATGATACTCTGGATACGATCGTGAATGGATTAGGTGCTCCGCTACGGTAAGTCCTATTTATTTCTTGTCGAAACGGCCTCATAGTTTCGTTTAAAGAGATTCTCGATTTTGGATAACTAATCAAATGAAGAATATTAATTATATATAATCTAGAATGATACAATGAAAAATAAGTATCCACAAAATAACAGTCGTACATTCAACGTGAACCAATCTTACGATTCAATAGGCCATTAAATTTCTATGAATATCGTACCGGAAATTCTTCGATCTTTTTATTCGAATTCCAAGTAACAATTAAATTCTACGTACATTCTAATATTTGCAATGTCAACCACTCTCATTGGTCCGTATTTTTTTGTTAATAATTCGGTAACGAAGCCCTGTTTTGCATTTTACAAAAGGAAATTGTTGTTCAGAATGACTCACTCAATCTGCTATTTTCGGCTCTAATATTTCTTCTGGGACACTCTGTATATATCGTCTCAAAACTCGTAAATACTCATTCCGAAGTTCGATGTTTGTATAAAATTAATACTTTTCGAATATAATTGAAATATTTTCAGTATTAGTCGAAACCCATGAAATTAAACATGGCTTATTGGATTTGATTCCATCCCCAATTACGATACATTTATTATAAACTCGTACGATGTAATTCATAAAATTATTCGAATGCTGTAACAGTATCGATATTTTTTCATCACCTTCTTCCCTTCGGAACGAATGTAAAGATTGACAGTGAACGAAAGCATTAGTACGTTCAGTGGATGTTAAAGCATCGTTCCAGTAACAGTAACATAAAATTGTGCATAGTAACGTTTAAATTAAATAGCAGAAAGTCAGCAACGTAAAAGTCTGAGCGAGGAATAATACTTCGGTTCCGTAGGGATAGAAAATCAAACAAAAAATTATTGGAATTAATGGAAAAATTATTATAATTAAAAATTATTTAAACAGAAGTAAATCGTCAATATATTAGATAGATAAATAAGTTAAAAACTGAAGGAACTACTTCGAACAGAGTTCAGAATCATTGAAACATTATTAGTTTCGAGTGCTAATCGAAACGCATGAAATGAGACTTATTGTTATTTATTGAAACTGACTCGGATTCGTGAGTACCTATTAAACTCCCATCTCTACCCGAAGTAGTCTTGTGAATTAAGTCGACGAAAATCCGATAAACGATGTCGTTTTTACGGTTTTATGTGCGAGACGACCGCTTTACCAGGTTCCCGTGAAGAAATAGCGAGTTGAGAAAGATCAATCGAGCTGACAGAAACGATTTCCTTGAACGGAAAAATTATGCATATCATTATTCTCTCTCTTTCTCTCTCTCTCTCTGTTTATTGGATCGGAACATTTTACCGCTTTGAGTTTAGTCGAGCGAAAATAAGCGAATCGTTCGCTGGTTGAAAGTTTCTTCTATCGTACTTTTATTACAGTTATATTTCACTGGTCAAGAATTGTGGCCAGTGGCAAAGCTAGGGCGCGTGTAGGAAGGATTAGCAATGCGGGAGGGTCCTTCAAGAGGAAATTCAGACGAATACATACACAAATATTACAAGAAATATAAAATATTGTTAGAACATAGAGTGTAGAATATTAAATACAATACGAAGATTATCGATAAAAATCCATCCCAATCATTGCGAGAGATTGCTCTGCCACTCAATACATACATATACACATACGAATAAGTAGAAAATTATGTCAAACGAATTGTGTTTCATTCTGTCTTAAATAACCGAACGAACTTACATCCAATATTTTATCACAAGTACGTGGGAACACCTAATCGTGTCTTTTTATTCAACGATTTAATTGAAGATGATCAACCACTAGGGTTGCGTAATACATGTTTATCCTACGACTCTTCTTGTTTTCGACCGCAGAAACGAGAGATGGAGGAAGCATTTTGGTAAAAAATCGCAGAGTATGTATATGGTTACGAAACGTTATGAAATATTCACACTACCAATTCGTGTCGAGTGTTGTTGACAAGATTTCAACGGCAAGAGGGGGGAGAGGCGAGACCGATGGAATTAGGTAGAGAACGGAGGAGATGGAACAATTGTGGGGGAGGATAGAAAGAGTGGAAAATTCATAGAGAGACAAATTGGCAGAAAATAGTAAAAATAGTTTGTTACATGCAACAATCTTTAGGATGAAATTCGTAAAAAATACCCAACTCCTTCAGTCGTACTGTAACAGCCCCTTAAGTCTGTACGCGATAATTACCGCGGCCGCAGCCGCGAGTCGTCTTGTAGAATTACCACGGTATGAAGATGCGTGCACGATAATTCGCTTCACACGGAAATGCGCGAGGGACGTTAAAAAGCTCGCCGTTAGCCCGCGACATTAAACTCAATAGGATTTGACGTATGGAACAATGGGAGCGCGAGACAATCGTGAAAGCATCGCGGTAAAATTCCCTCTGATTGTTTTCATAGAAAGTAAACACGGTGAGAAGAGAAGAGATTCGAATATATCTGGCGAGAGAGTACGATCTTTCTCGAGTGACGCGCGTATCGGCAGATGAGTCGCCGTAAAATGTTTTTTTTTTAACGGTTTTCACCCCGAATTTTCGCTCACCGCCGTAGATTTTACGGCCTACCTTTGGAAGAAAATGACAGACTGCCAGGAAGAACTCCCGTAAGCCCGTATATTTAGCTAATTTTGTGTGTAACATTGACAGTCTGTCTTATCGCGCTGCTATCGCAATTTACCAGCTTAAGGCGTATGTAATCGCGCTAATCGTGGCCGAAAAAAGAAGTAGGTCGAGAGGCCTTTCTCGCCCGGAAACGCGATGTCTCGAAAATCGCTTAAATAGTCGGCAGTGGCTCGTTCGGTTTCCATCCGTACGGCCGTGGCTCGATTTCTTTTCTCTTTCACTTTCTGAAGAACAAAGACCTGCTCGTTATGTACCATCCCGTTTGGTTCTCAATGAAAATTTTCGGTTTAAAATTTAAAATCTATCTCTAGGCTTTCTGACATTTGTCTTTTACTGATTCTCTTCTGAAAACTGAAAGAGGATGAGCATTTTCTGCTGTCATCGGTAGGTCGAAGTACGCTCTGGCTTTTAACAGTATTTCTACCGGAGGCGTCGGGAAAAACACCTTTTGACCAAACCAAAAATATTATCGATTTTAGAAAGATGTATATGACCAGCATTTAACCAAATGTATCGAGATTTCATTGAAGTTGAAATTCAAATGACAATAGAAAATTTATCATTAATTTTTAAGAAAAGATATTTTTTTTAATATAATTAGTCATACTTAAAATATTTTATAGTGTATTTAAATATAATATATGGATCATAAATAAATTGTTTTTAATGATTTCATAAATATCAATAGTAACTGGCACATCCGCAATAATACCCGAAAATGGATCTTATCTTATAATACTTCTTATTAATTTAAATCACTATGTTAGGTAACAAAATGAATTTTTTTCTTATTAAGTAATCCTTGAGCATTCGTTAAAACAAAAACTGAAAGCTTTCATTTATTTGCAACTTAAATCAATAGTTTCAAAGGTTAACCATGTTTCTACTCCACAGTAATATCTACATCTACCCTACGTCGTTTAAAGGCCGGCGAAACGAGTTTTTTTAGAGTCACGAACATCGGATTGGATGTATCATGCCATGAAAAAAGACTACTGTCTGCTTCTAGAGGCCAGTCACGTGGGATGTTTGACCCCGAAACACTGTCGTTATACGCCGGATCAAGAGTTCTCAAAAGTTCGAAAATTGCTTTAAAAAGAATATATTAAAAATTTCATCTAAAAATTCGTACGTGAACGAAATTTAGAAAAAAAAACATACTAAATATCACATGAAAATGAATGTGTTGCCTCGTTTCGTTCATGAAAGTGAACTTCGTTTTCACGTGCATTCAATTCCTATTTAACAGTGGAAAAAAAAAAGTATTAATATTTAATATTGAACAGTCTCCTATGAATAATACATTTGAACGAAGTTTACGTTTGAACGGAGATCACCTTTCGAGGCAAAAGTTATTCTTCTCCTCAGTACAATGCCTCGAGCGAATATCTGAATAAAATTTAGCGCAGGATAGACAGTGTAGACACATACATACGTACATACACCGAGTTCCTGAAGGAAGGTGCGACGACATTCCTAATTGCGTAATGCAAAACCTAGTAACCTTTTCTAATTTGATGTACCAATGTGTTAGCAACGGATAATATGTATACGTACAGCAATGGCTCTCAACCTTTTCACAATCACAGAACACTTACAATTTTAAAGGATTTCTGTCGACTCACAATCAAGTGGAATAAAACAATACATCTATTTTTTAAAACAGATTTGATTCACGTTCCAATAGAAATCTGTTATCTAATATAATAATAATAATAATAATCGATAAAATAATAATGATCGACAAAAGCCAAGATAAGTACGTAAGTACAAGTAAAGACGATGAAACTAAGGCAAATATTGGGTAGTCGGAAAAGTATTGAGAAATTTTTGATGTCGGGCAATACTAATCAGATTGAGTCATACTGACACGCGTTTGAGAGGTGACATTTCAGTCTACAATTTTTATGAAGACAGTTTTGTATTTCGTCAATCAAAAGAAATGTTAGTGTGAAAATGAGTGAAATTTCTAAAATTCGCTATGCTTCGCAATTTTACTATAAAAAAAGGCAAAAACGCTGCACAAGTCCGGGAATAAAATTTGTGGTGTTTACGGTGGAGATGCCTTATCAAATGCAAGAGCATGTAGATGGTTTGCTCGCTTCCGTTCTAGGAATTTCGATGTTAAAGATGCACCTCGCTCTGGTCGACTAATCACTGAATTCTATTCCGGTGAAATTATGGCTCTAGTCCAAAAATAACAAAAGGTAATAATGGCCAATATATGCTTGAATAAAAGAAACATTTAATAGAAAAACGACAAAAATGTCTCAATACTTTTCCGACTACCTAATATTTACGAGAGGTTCCTCGAGCATCGATGCGCTTTGACTGAATCGGACTTGGTTCGAACGGCGCCCTCTTCCCGC